TGTGGGTCTAATTCCTTCTATTTTGTTGTGATCCTTACCTGTCCTGGTAGCTAGAAGGGCTAACTGTCTGCAGCTAGCTTTATTTTATCTTAATTCATTTTGGAAAAGACTAAAGGTTTTTGCCTGGAAACCAGAAGGTACAGTTATTGAGTTCTTACTGTGTATAACTGAAACCCATTCTTACACATGCCAATTCTTCCCATTACCCTTTCCTGTCATCACTGAAGATTAAGCTCTTCATTTATACACAAGAAATTCAGAAATCAATGCTGTGCATTAAGCAAGACATATTTAAATATGAAAGGGGGAAGAGAAACCCCAGAACAAACAAGGTTAAATTAACGTTGCTTCTTTGCATACGCACTTGATGGGTTTCTGCCATAGAAAAACAGTAACCTGCCATTCCAAGCTGTCACAGTTATTCCTTTTGTTCATCCAAAGCATTTATGCTTCTAATTTATGTAGTGTAATAAACATGCACCCCCTAAGGCAGATCATGTTTGGTATAACAGGCTCAGTTTTAAGAATCTCAGTATTGACAGACTGTGGGAAGTACTAAAAGACTCCAAGTAAATATTTAGCACTTCTACACAACAGCAGTTTTTCCCACATTCAAAGCACTTTATAAACATTAGCTTGTTAATTCCCTGCGGTAGCCCTGCAAGGCAGGTAAACATAAAAATAAAACAAAACATTTGAATGTTACTGACAAAAAAAGCATATAAGAGCCATCCAGCAGAGCTTCTGCTTGGAACAGGGAAATCCTTCTTTCCTGGCCCAATTCACCATGCCTTTTGCAGAAAGCCTAGAAATTATATCGTCAAGATGAGCTCTTCAGCACAGTGCTAAAGAAGAAGAAACAACCAACCAGATGCTGCTAACCATACAGATGGTTTGCCCTCCAAACCTTTAAAAGAATCCCCCCTTGAAAGCATCCAGCTGGGACAGGGAATGACAGGAGGAGACACACACACCCAGTCTCCCTGCCATCCAATATTGAGCTAAACACTTTTCTCTAAGAAAATTCACCAGGACTAGTACATCCCAAAAAAAGGTTCATAACAGCTGAGAACGCACCCACAATCTACTTTTCCCAAGAGGAAAACCTTTCACAGGAGAAGGACTCTGTCCATGGAAGTTTCCTTCACCCTGTACTTTTAGATCCATCTCCATTCAGCAGATCACTTGGCTCTGAGCTGCATTTTCAGGGTGCTGGAGAGGCTCTCTTTAGAAAGTACAACTGCCTGGCGACAGTGACACACGCGTTGGTGACTTCCTGACTTGACTTCTGTAACGCGCTCTATGTGGGGCTACCCTTGAAGAGGGTCCGGATACTTCAATTAGTTCAAAATAGAGCTGCCAGGCTGCTGACGGGGACTGGGCGTTATGTTCACATGACTCCAATCCTCCGTCAGCTTCACTGGCTTCCCATTGAAGTCCGGGCCCAATTCAAGGTGTTGGTAATGACCTATAAAGCCCTAAACGGCTTGGGTCCTGGTTACCTGAAGGAGCACTTACGTCCATATATGCCCGCCCGCCCCCTGAGATCTGCGGGAGAGGCCCTTCTCCGGGAACCCTCCATGAAAGAAATTAGGAGGGTGGGTACTCGGAGGAGGGGTTTCTCTGCAGTGGCGCCCAATCTATGGAATGCGCTCCCCAGAGGGGTCTGCCTGGCGCCGTCATTATTTGTTTTTCGGCGCCAGGCGAAGACCTTTTTATTCAAATGTCATTTTAATTGTTAATAGTATTTATTCATTTTATTCTTTGGCCAGGCCGAGTTAATTTATACTGTTAATTTATATTATTTTAAGGAAGTTTATTTATGGATGTAAGCCGCCCTGAGGCTTCAGCGAATGGGGCAGCATAGAAGTCTCCTAAATAAATAAATGAATGAATGAATAAATAAATAAATAAATAAATAAATAAATAAATAAATAAATAAAGAGAGGGAGGGAGGGAAGTCCACTTCCACTAGCAAAATTGAGCCAGCATAAATCTGGGTCCAGTCATTTTTGAAAGAAACACATAGTAAAAAGGTGGGATTCGGTAAGCACAGCATATTGTCTTCTTTTCTATGTTTACAACCCTGTATCAAGAGGGTAACAGCCCCTCACATAAGCATTCCTATGAATTAAAATCATCCTCACAGGTCTTTCTTTGGGTTCTACCACCATCATAAGGGAAGGGCTGATTTGCTGAGGAAGAACATTCTCAGTGGTCACACCCCAGCTTCAGAAGCTTCTCCTCAAGGAGCAACTTCTAAAGGAGCAAAGGCTGTGTGTTAAATCAGTGCACAATGCACTGCTGTTTGCCTGCCTCCTATGAATGCAGAAGGATGCAAAGGGTAGAGATTTGCACAGCTACATGTAGGGGCCTGTTTGTGACTTACAGACTGTCACTTTAAATGAGTGAGGACTTGCTGTAGAACTGTTCATATGACCTTAGTGTTTATATGGTTACAACAGAAGGAAAAGAAAAGGGGATGGGATTGGATGGGGGCAAAGCACTGAGTTTTTGAGCATGCTTAGGCCAGGAACAGAAAATATGCAGTGGGTCTATCTGGAGTGATTCTGCTAGGAATTTGACAGCAGTAGCTGGTGGGAAACAGATAGCCAAGTCATTGGGAAGATGTTAGCACTAAGTAAGAATAGCAACAGAGGTTACCCAACACTCAAATAAGAGGAGATGCTTACTGGTATGCCTGTGGGTCAATGTTATTTTTGGAACCTGTGCTCTAGCTATTTCTTCCATTCATAAGAGGGCAGGATGAAGGTTCAAGGCACTCAGAGAAACAACAGCACGTTGGCCAATTGAATTCATTGTGTGTACCCAGGCTAACCTGGTGGATCTACCAATTCTACAATGCTGGCACAGTTTCAATCCCCAACACACACACACCGCTCTTATGTTCGGCTTGCCATGGTTTGGTTTTCAAGTGGCTCCTTTACTTGTTACGAATCAGAGATCGTTCCCTGACCACAGATAACTCAGAGAAGATGCTTTGCGTAGAGATGGCATCAAGTTCAGATCCCAGCATCTGCAGTAAAAGTGGACAAGAGTTGTATCTGGAGTCCTGCTGCCAGTCCATGTAGATAAAACCAAACTCGATGGATCAATGGCCTAACTTGGGATAGGCCACAATCATATGTTCCTATGTGATGCAGTTGTTCTGAGGAAGCTTGGCAGTTTTCACCACAGCACTGCAAACTGTTAAATAAGTTATGTGTGGACTTAATGGATCTTATAGAGCTTTTCAAAGCAGCCCAACATTTTCAATAAATTGAAGGCATTTAGAAAGAAACCAGTGGGTAAAATCTGCCAAGGTGGTTTATTCTATGGAAATGTAAACTGTGTCACTGATTACAAGCTGAGGGCTTGGTAATAAACAAGCCTTCTAAATAAGCAACAACAACAAAAATCATGTATTTAAAATATTTTACTCCCCTCTTCTTTGCAACAGCTCTTTGATATAGACTAGTCTGAGAGACAGAGTTCTTGGGGCTGGCCCAAAGTCGCCCCGTAACCTTTCTCTCCAATCTTAATCCAACCACACTGTGCCACATCTCACTTTATTCAAGTGACCAGAGTTACTTAGACCATTGTGTTTTTTTAGACCTTTATGATGAGGCATGCAATTATATTCTCCTATCCTGAATGATACGAGGAGGGTGTTTGTTTTTTACTGCAGTCCATAAACATGCACACTGTGCAATGGTTTGATATCCAAATCCCCCACCTCAAGGACTTGTTTCATTATGTCCCATTTACATATGCTGGAACTCATGGTGCCAACATAGGTGTTCCTGGGCATTTTTCCATCCGAACCCTGACCAGACCCAGACCCCATCCTGCTTAGCTTTAGCACAGCTACTGCATCATATGGTAACTTCCATTCCACATTGTCTTCCAGAGGTCTGTAGCAACTTTACATAAACTATTTTGTATGAAAAGGAACCGGATATTCATAGAATCCTAGAACAGTAGAGTTGGAAAGGACCATGAAGACCATCGGGTCCAACCCCCTGCTGTTGCAGGTCACCAAGTTACACCATCCAGTTTCTTTCTGAATGTCTCCAGTGTGGAAGAGCCCACCGCCTCTCTCGGTAGCTGGTTCCACTGTTGTATTGCTCTGACACTGAGGAAGCTTTTCCTGATGTCCAGCCTGAATCTGGGTTGTTGCAACTTGAATTGTTTATTCCGTTTTCTACATTTTGGCATCAGCAAGAGTTCTTGACCTTCCTCTTAGTGACAGCCTTTTAGATACTTATAGAGGAATATCATGTCCCCCTCAGTCTTCTCAAGGCTGAACATGCCCAGTTCTCTCAATCTCTCAAGTCATGAGAACACTGAACAGCTAGCCAAAGTTCTAGTCATTTGGAAAGAATCAACATTATGCAGGACTTTAAACTAAAGGCGAAATATAATCACTGGAAAAGAACAGACTTAAATGAAAGGGAGAGAAAAATGCATATGGAATAAGCTCCCCTCCCTCCATTAATGGACAAAGAGGGAGGACAAGATTAAGCACCATGACAACTTTTACAAAACAAAAACAAAAGCACAGAGTGACATTAATATTCGTGATGGTCTTTCAAGGTGGACACTGCAAGTTCCAGGCGTGCAAAGCCTCTGCAAAGTCAATGAGCCTCCAGTTCCTGAGCAATTTGGATTCTTGCGCATATGTTTAAGAAGACAAAAGCTCCCACTTAATAATTGGCCTTATGAAGTGATCCATATAAAAATGACTTGATCGCCAGTAATAACCTCATTATGAATGCGTTAAGTAAGAGATCAGCATCCGAAGAGAATGATCTCTTGCATGGCAATGGCTAGAGGCAATTGAAACCATTAAATGGCCAAATATATTATATACGCTTCTTTTTCTAACATCTATCTTTACTACTCAGTTCTTATACAGTCTGCTTAGCAAATGTCCTTTAAAGAAAGTTCATGCAAAACGAATACTCAGGTAATAAATAGGCTGTTTTCACTAGGCTTACCAGAATGCCGGTGCTGCTGCTCTTCTAGGAATTCCAAGTCAAGCATGAGGTCATCCTCATCCAGGTCGCAGGAGCCCAAGTTATTCAAAACATCCTGCAGCATGCCAATAAAAGAATAGTTTAGGAAGACAGAGAATTGACTCTGAAGAAGAAAAATGGCCAATTAGAATGTGAGCTGTCTGGTGCATTTGCTTAAGCACCAGTAACGGGGCAGAAATATGAAGCCATGAGAAATAGGGAGGATATGCACAGAATTTTCAGTATTACCCCATCAATATATATTAACAGTATTCAGAATTTGTACATCTTAACCACACAATGTATAGTTTTTTTCCCAATGAATTGGCAGGGGACTATTAACATTCAAGACAAGACCTCAAGATCTGACAAATTGAATCCAGCGTAATAAATATCAATCCATTATTAGTCTCATTTAGAGTACACCCAATGTAGTGAGCATAGCTTGTTAGAATAATGCTGGGTGCAAGAAAAGGGCAGAAAATGCACCACACAACTCAAATTCACATTATGGATTGAAACCCACAACTGTGCATCTGCTTAGGAAGGACCATGTATGTTATGGCTTATAATTCTGTCAATGTAAGACAACAAACACCTCTGTTGGTTCATTTTGTTCATTTCTTACCATGGTGTTCACAAAGGCAAGGTATGGTCAGAAGCATGGCAGATGAACTGAGGTTTACCATCATAACGCCACAAAAATGGACACGCTGCAGTGGGCATGCATGAGAATTTGGCTTTGATTCAATATTTGTCAGGATTTACAATTTCCACCTTCCAGACTGTACACAGATTCAGACCTAATCTGCAGTCAAAGTACAAATATTCCAATTGTCCTGCAATATGATTATTAGGCCTGCCCCAAAATGTGTATTACCCTATCTGTATGTTTCAAAAGGGACTGCAGGTGGCACAGTGGTCTGAACTGCTGTGCTGCTGGACTGGTAGATAGCAAGGTCACCGGTTCGAATCTGCACGATGGAGTGAGTTCCCGTTGCTCCGTCTCAGCTCCTGACAACCTTGCAGTTCGAAAGCATGCAAATGCAAGTAGATAAAAAGGTACCACTTCGGTGGGCAGGTAACAGTGTTCCATGCACTTTGGTGTTTAGTCATGCCAGCCACATGACCACAGAGACTGCCTGTGGACAAACGCTGGCTCCCTCGGCTAGGAAACGGAGATGAGCACCGCCCCCTAGAGTCAGGCATGACTGGACATTAACGTCAAAGGGAAACCTTTACCTTTTACTATATGTTTCAAAAATGCACATGAATTGTGTGCAAATATACTCCAGCCAATGGAAGAATGCATAAATCTCAAAGTTGCGCAAAATGGATGCGCTTTTTTTAAAACATGCACCTTGCAGTCTAATGGCGGCCATCGCCCATGGGTTACATGGATCAACAGTCAGTATTAACAGCTTCACACGGTCATGCTCTTATTTTGCAAGATCACTTGATGGGGCAATGTATAAAACCACCTTCATTTTGCTTTAGCCCTCCAAAATATGGGAAATGGTTAATGGCAGAAATTGTAAGGCATTTTATTTATATATTTATTTAAGATATTTATATGCCGTCCTGTTGCAAAAGGCTCAGGACGGCATCACATCTGAAGAGACTTTTTCTGCAAGTGTGTATCTGGTGCTAAAGCAGTACAGCTGCCTTCTCACAGGGTCTGGAAATCCCTTTGTTCACTGCCCACTAAAATAAACTGCTCTTAATTCCAAAAACTGTTGTTCCTTCTTTTTTCTCCCTTTACTTTTTTAAAGAAAAATCTATCACTGTCAGGCACATCCACAGAGAGAGTTACAGCATTATTTCTGTTTTCTTCTTTTTTAAAAACGCACACATATAAGAAACCCTTACAATGTTTTAATTCAAAGTCTTTGCATTAAACACTTTGTTAGTTAGGAAGAAAGAAAAGGAGAAGAAAATTTCTCATCAGTGTTCCAAAGAAAAGCTGACAGATGAATGCTGACATGTCGTTTCTTTCTTTTTCTCGAAAGCTTAAATCAGTGCTTGCAGAGAAATGCTTCAGCCAAGGGTTTAATAAAACTCTTCATTGACTTTGGAATAGCCCCTCAGAAACTTTAAAACACAGCTTTCCTTTTCCCACTCCTTTTGGTATGTACTCTCCCTTTAACCCTTGTGGCGCAGATGCGATGAAATGGAGGGGCCCTTTGCTCCAGCAAATCCAGTGCCCTGCCAGATAGACCTGCCCCTTTGTGGCCAGGCAGGAAAAGAACAAAGGTGCTTTTGTTCCTCTCCCAGAACAAAAGCAAACCTCAAGTGGATGTGCCTCTGAGCCACCTCTCCCCTCAGTTCTCTGTCCACATGAAGACTTCCTGTCTGACCTGTATGAGGTTGCCTGAGGTTTCTCTGAAGGCTACAAGGAGGCAGGGAGGAAACAAGGGAAAGAATCCAAGGTTGATTTCTTCTCCAACCATCACAGAAGTGTCTGCAACTGCAGGAGGGGGCATTTGAGACATCTTTTAATCCCTGGGATGCTCTCAGCTCTGTAGGAATACTATTTTAATTTCCCTGTTTTGCATGTGAAATCCCCACATGCCGTTCTGAGCTATGGTGGTCACACGACGATTCACCATACTTTTACTCTCCAAATATTTTTAGAAATATTTTAAATAAATCACACGTTCCTCTTAGGGTCGCTTTTCCATTTTTACCTTTTTAGAATATAAAGCTGTTATCATGAAAAGGATAGTCCTGTGCTTCCAGATTAACAGCACAATCCTACAAAGGTTTATTAAGAAGCAAGCTGCATTGCATTAAGAGGGGCTTATTCCCAGGTAAGATCACAACATCTCTGACTTTAAAAAAAAATAAAGCAGCAGACACTGGCCTTCTAGGAAGTGGAGGAGGGGCAGGGGGGCTGCTACAGGTTCTATTCCAGCTAGGATATTGTTTTTCTACTGAAGCATCTCGTCATCATGGAGTTACATCAAAAGTTATTCCAGCATAAACACCCACGTTTTGATGTTTGTCAAGAAGATATTGCACTCTGTGGAACATGCATGGACGAATATGAAATTTGTTCTTCCATTCTCAGCATAACCAGAGTTGAACTGGGGTGTAAATGGCAATGTAGAATATACACTAGGACAATCAGTTTTGAACTCATAGGAGCCATTTTCCACGACAGCATGTGTTTGCCAATCCAATGCTGCTCTTTTCTCCTCTGCTTACGGTTCATACGCTCAAGCATTAAAACATGGCAGCTAAATAAAATTGAAATGTTGCCACAGTATGTGATATTGTGCATGCATAACCGCACATAAGATTTTAACATGAATGTGCTACCCTGCTACCTCTGTAAAACACATCAGTTTATCCAGCTAGTACTTCTGAAGGTGGGGACAAAGAATTCTGCAGAGATGTTATTTTGAAAACTAAGAAACTCTGCATAATGCTTATAGATGCCTGAGAGTTTGGGAACTTGAAGCCAAAGGATCTGCAGACAGGTTTTACACAGCCATAAATGGGTGATGTTATACTGAGTTTATAAATATGTGCCAAATTGTATGCTATCATATTATGCTAATCAACTCTCTCCCTGTGTGTTGCCGACTTTGCAGGAAAAAGACCATTGGCATTTCATAGAAGGAGGGTGAAAAGGCACAGGTAGTGGCTGTGGAAATGCAGAGTAGGTCATTGCGGCTCTTTGTTTTCAGAGTATGGGGAAGAAAATGGGATAGGCTGAAGACAGGAGACATTACAAAAGAATAAAACTGGCAGGTATTCAGGAGAACAAGTGGGGCAGGACAGTATGGACTGTCAGCTACAGCTTTATTTTCAAAATGTAGGTAACAAATGTGCTGGGTAATAAATATTTAGCCTCAGAGGAAGGGCTTGTCCAGAGCGTAATCTAGTAAAGCCCAGCCACTTTTATGGTTCTGATGAAGTTTGGGTTGGGTCTTACCCAACTCCACTATAGGACTAGAGAGCCAAGTAGATTCTTACACAACTAATGCATGTCCACAAACACTTTTAAATTCATGCATTAAAAACAGCAGTGCAATTCACCATGCAAGCTGCAATGGGGTTGTGCTGAGCAGTTTCATTGCAACATCGAACACAGATCGCCTTCTACAGGAGTGTAGGTTTCCACACAGTTTGGATCGGTTCACAGTTAGGATTCTGAATCATGTGCAAGCCTAGGCATGTTCCATTGTACACACAGAACTCTCCCAAATGCAGGTACCAGAGTCTCTTTACTAATGGTGAGAATGGATTTACCTGGACCCATGGGGAAGACTGAATTGCCTTGAACCCCAGCATTCTTACTGGTGAGCTCACCCAAACCCCCTGCAGTTACTTATAACAGCATGCTCCACTGCCAACTACAAGCTTTTAGAACATACACAAAGTGTTTTATAGATTCTGAGTCACATGGGCCCAGCAACTGGGCAGTTGATGATGAAATAACACAATCAGAAGGTGAAAGGTCTGCAGAGGGGGTTCAGTGCAGTAGCATTTGACTGCAGGAGATCATTGAAGCAAGGATTATTGTGGGTCTTGGCATGCAAATGAAGGTGATTGCAGTGCTGTTAACCTGGCAGCCTTATCAGTCCTTACTGATTAGCAAAAACAATAGCCCTAGCAGCTTTTCAGCAAGCTATCAGTATTCACTTCTTAAAGTAACAGCAATGCTAAACAGTAACCTGGCTTGGAGTTCTGCTGCTTTCTGAGAAAGGGGTACAGATTGATTTTATAACACAAAGGCCCATTTAAGCAACATTTTCCTGCCAGGATGTATTTGAATTTTCCCAGCACAGGATACAGGATACACATGCGGGCCTATGGAACTCAGCACAGCCCTGCCATAGTTCATATGACAAGTTCCAGTACTTATTAAATTATTTTATAGGGCTATCAACAACTTGGTTTTGACTAACCCACCTGTTGATTTTGTGACAACTTTGTTTACAGACTTTGATCTACATCTTGTTCATTGTTCAATAAATGAAAGGCTCTCAATTTTACCCTACCATTATTGCCAGCCGCTTCTTGTTTAACTATTGCCAATGAACAAATATTTCTTGTCTTTTCTTATGA